CAGCACACACACACACACACACACACACACACACACACACACACACACACACACACACACACACAGAGGCACCCGTACACAAAAACACAGGAACATGTACTTAAAAACACATGCTTACCTGCAGAAAAAAAACCACAGGCACATACCCACACAGACACACGCACACACCCACACAAAAACACAGGCACAGACACACACAGACACACGCACACACCCACACAAAAACACAGGCACATGTACACAAAAACACAGGCACATGTCCACAAACATTTTCTAAATGGGGAGAAAATTCAGAAATCTGAAGTGCAAAGAGACTTGGGAGTTCTAGTCCAGGATTCTCTCAAGGTAAACTTGCAGGTTGAGTCAGTAGTCAGGAAGACAAATGGAATGTTGGCATTTATCTTGAGAGGACTTGAATATAAAAGCAGGGATGTACTCCTGAGGCTTAATAAGGCCCTGGTCAGGCCACATTTGGAGTATTGTGTGCAGTTCTGGGCCCCATATCTCAGGAAGGATGTACAGGCCCTGGAGTGGGTTCAGAGGAGGTTCACGAGAATGGTCCCAGGAATGGAAAGCTTAACATATGAGGAACGTTTGAGGACTCTGGGTCTATACTCATTGGAGTTTAGAAGGATGAGGGGGGAATCTAATTGAAACTTACAGAATACTGAATGGCCTGGATAGAGTGGGTGTTGGAAAGATGTTTCCATTGGTAGAAGAGACTAGGACCCGAGGGCACAGCCTTAGAGTAAAGGGAAGACCTTTTAGAACGGAGATAAGGAGAAACTTCTACAGCCAGAGAGTGGTGAATCTGTGGAATTGACTGCCACAGAAGGCTGTGAAGGCCGGGTCACTGCGTACATTTAAGACTGAGATAGATAGGTTCTTGATTATCAAGGGGATCGAGGGTTACGGGGAGAAAGCGGGAGAACGGGGGTGAGGAACTTATCAGCCATGATTGAATGCGGAGCAGACTCAGTGGGCTGAATGGCCTAATTTCTGCTCCTATGTCTTATGGTCTTAAAAACACAGGCACACATACACAAAAACACAGGCACATGTACACAAAAACACAGGCACACGCACACAAAAACACAGGCACACATACACAAAAACACAGACACACATACACAAAAACACAGGCACATGCACACAAAAACACAGGCACACATACACAAA